TCGAAATGAGTGTGTGAATGAATGTTGGGTAAACTCATTTGGCTTGGGTTATCATTTATGCTTGTGATTGGGCCCAAAACGAAACTTTCCATTCGCCCCCTTATCAAACCCAAACGTTGACCAGTTTTGGAGTGACTGACTGCCCGACGCCGCCGTTCCCAATTTCCCGTTGCAGTCGCTCACGTCGGCCAATTTCCCGAAATACATTTCGAATTATTTTCGTACACTTGCCAATTTCTTTGTGCAATCGACTGGCCAAAATCGCAATTAACGAAGGCAACTATTGCAGCGATTTCTCGGGTGAACGACCAGACCGTTGGCCATAAACTTACCCATTGCACTGGCCGTTTAGTAGTGTGTTGCCTTTGCCAGTTTCCTCAGATTTGATTGCATTTTATATATCTATTGCAAGCCAGTTATATGATGGCCACAAACAAGCACTTATGGTTAGAAGAACTGAATTATTTGCTCAAATCCCTGGACTAGGCAGCTGGCTTGGCTATCTTATCACCATCCCTCCTTTTGGAGTGATCATTGCTGACATCCGAGACGGTTTACGATTTGAAGTTTAAAGCTTATCACCTGGGCCAGCTTATCTGGTTACCTCTCCTGGCCACAATAAACACTTCTCTCCGGCCTCTCACCAGCTCTCTTTCTCCAGCTCCAGTTTCGCAGCAGTTGAATTGGTGTATGCCTATCCGCAGTCATTGGGTTTTCTCAGCCATTCGCGAATTGTTGCTAAGCCTTGACGGTTGCAAAAAATCCGTGCGTGATATTGTTATAAAACAAAGGGTCTTAGTAGCCCAAATCGAATTAAGCCGACTTGGTGACGCGTGTGTGATTAGAGTCACCCCGAAAAAGAAGCTAGAGAACTGCTGCTCCGCTGATCCTGCCTCGGGGTTATCCTGTTCTGCTACTAATGCTGCTTCTGCTACTTACCCCCTAGAATAGAATCCCTTGTCTGTCCGCTACTCATCAAGAGGGTTACATAACGAAATCAGTTTTTTCAATTGTGCGTCAGCTTAATTTGATTTGTAGCCGTCGGCCTGGCTTTTAAGTGCCTTCAAACCAGGGGCTTTTTTTCATCCTGCCCGGCATGTCATGTTTGTGTGTGCTCCAGTTTCAGTTTGTCTATCAGGGCGGCACTTGAGTTAATTGATTAGTTTCAACGCCTTTCAGACAGGCCAATAAGTCATTACTATTATCTGGCATGATTCGGAGCCACTTAAAAGTTGGAAAGTTGCTAACCAACGCCCCCTTTGGGTACATTGCAATTCGCCAAGTCCACTATCTTTATGAGGCATTAACAAGCCTCAGATTACTCATATGGAGTGGCAATAATAGAGGGCTCATATGACTTCCAAATGGTGTAGAAATTTCCAAAGCGAATCAATATAAACACTTGCCAACCGGTGGGGGTACCAGGTAAAATGGCAAATTGTTTTCAAATCGCAATCAATATTTACAGAGCCAAAGCCAAATGTCGTTGGAAAATGGCAGGAAAAGTAAGTGATCGACTGCGATTACTCACCACCCTGGCTTGGCTCTGTTGTTGCCCTCCTCCACTGAGTAATTGAAGCTGCAAATGAAATTAGCCAAAACAAAACAAAAGACTGTAAATGCGTTGGGGAAGCGGGGGGGATAGCAAATGAAAAAGTTTTTCACTACTTAATGTGCATTAGACATGCAATGAGCGTGTTCGGATGACGAGAAACTGGAACCAGTTCCCTGCACCGCTCTCAAGTTCAGTTCAACCCGCAATGGGTTAATTCACAAGCCTCAAGTGCCCGTGCCCTTGTCCTGGGAATCCTGCAAGCTGGCTTTGATTTCCATTTGCCGAGTAATTGATTTTTTTTACACACTCTCAAGAAGAGGAGGTGAGATTTGTTAGGGGAAAGAAGGGGGTGAAGTAAGTGTACGTGTACCCGATTCCTGTCATTACCAGAGCACATTTCACACTCCAGCCCGACACTTGAAGTTGACTTGACCGCCCGGGCTCGAGGCTCAACAATTCCCAGCTGCCAGTCGCGTGCTATAAACTTTATTGATTCGGGGAGAGGCGATGGCAATGGATAATGGGTAATGGGTAATGGGTGGTTGGTGGTGGGTCCAGCGCATCGTGTAAATATATCCTTCCGCATTATGTTGCCGCTCATCCGGCAACAGTTTGGGCCGGCGCCTGCGGGTAGGCAATGCTGCTGCTGCTTCAACAACCCTCCAACCTCCGTGACCCTCCCTGAAAACTTTTGGGCAAATATACTAGTACTACTATACGAGTACTTCGATTGAGAGCACTGTCCTCTCTCGTTTTCAAAAACTCCGGTTAAAACTCTCCCCAGCTGAGCGCTGAATGGCGGCTTAGTGCCGGCGATAAAGTGCGGGCCCTTGGGTGCGGACGGGCTCTCAGTTCCTTTCGATTTGCCGATTGGGTTTGTTCGTCGTCATTTGCCGATTGTGTACCAACGCTCGCGATTCAAAGGCGCGCGCTAAAATATTCTGCAGACCACCAAAGCAGAGCAGCACCAGAACAGAGCAGCTCCAGTAGTCAGCCAGCCGAGCAGCAGTCAGCAAGTCCTTTGCTCCCCCAAAATAGCATCGCGTAGTGTTTGTTTAGTGTAGTATACATTTGGGCGCGGCAGCAGCGAAAAGCAAAGTCGCAAAGGAGTCTCTCGACAAAAGATAAAAGAAGATATATACAACATTGTTGCGTCCGATATTTTGATACCAACGAAGAAGACCACCAAAAAGAAAAAGAAGAAAATATACGCTGAAACCAGAATCAATCAATTCAATCACCGAAAATCAAAAGCAATAGCGTTAAGCCAAGCGTGTCTGTGTCTGAGAAAAGAGAGAGAGAGTGTGTGTGTGTGTGCTTAATAGGGATCCCTCAACGAGATCCTTGAGAAGCTAAAGCTGCATTGTGATTTCATTTTACCTGCAAACGCAACCAAACAAACGAAGATTGGTTTTTTTTTATATACAAAAAAACACCGACTTTGTGACCAAGCCAACGCCAAATTTTTAAACGTTTTTTGAAAACTTTACACCAACTCTACAAAAACTACACGTAAAATGGGTCTCTGCGCCTCCAAGGACAAGAAGGAGAAGGTGATCGAGGGTGAGGTGGCCAATGGTGAACCCAATGGTACCGCCACCGCAGCCGGCGCTGGAGAAGATGGGTGTGTATCCCGGGGTTCCCTGGGCATTTCATGGGCCTAGGACTCCTAGACAGGAGTTGTCTGTATATGCTGGGTGGGTGGGCGACACGGGGAGGGGAGGGGCTGACGTCATGTGTGTGTAAGTGCGTGAGCTCTGTCTGAAAAGCGCCCAAAAATAAAGTGCCATAAAAAAATTATTATTGCCCTGGTCCTCGTTTTGTCCAGGACTTCGGCTGGGTCGCCATGTTGTTGTAGTGCGCATGTCCTACGGGACCAAAGGAGGGCGACGGGCGAGCGGGTGTATAGTGTGCCGTCGATTTGCGTATTCAGCGGCAGCCGGCAAAATTTTATAGTCAGTCAGCCACCACCAAAAGCAGGACATACAGTCGAGGAGGACAGAGCCACCACTAAAAAAAAGGGGCGTTGTGGTGGGACCAGGGGTGATGGGTGTTTGGTTCTGGGTGTACGTCGGGCTAAAAGGGGGAGGGAGGTAGTTGGTATATGTGGAAGTCGCGTGCCAGACTCAAGTCGGGTATGAGCACATGGCCATAACCCGAAACTAATTGCGGGGCAAACAGGCCGGAATTGAGGAAAACAGAAACAAGAAAACATGTTGCCGACTTTTAGGCGCCACAAAAACAGAGATAGCCAACCCATAGCAATAAAAACTTGAACTGCCGCCCCAGCCACGCCCTTTTACTAATGGTCAACCCCCTTTCTTCTTCTCTCTCTCGAACTTTTTGCAGCAAACAAGACACCATGGTTGATGCCGCTGTTCTCGCTAAACTGGAGGAGGGTTACGCCAAGCTGGCTGCCTCCGACTCCAAGTCGCTGTTGAAGAAGTACCTGACCAAGGAGGTCTTCGACAACCTAAAGAACAAGGTCACCCCCACCTTCAAGTCGACCCTGCTGGATGTGATCCAGTCTGGCCTGGAGAACCACGACTCCGGTGTGGGCATCTACGCCCCCGATGCCGAGGCTTACACAGTGTTCGCCGACCTGTTCGACCCCATCATCGAGGACTACCATGGTGGATTCAAGAAGACCGACAAGCACCCGGCCTCCACCTTCGGTGATGTGTCCACCTTCGGCAACGTTGACCCCACCAACGAGTACGTGATCTCCACTCGCGTCCGTTGCGGTCGCTCCATGCAGGGCTACCCCTTCAACCCCTGCTTGACCGAGGCCCAGTACAAGGAGATGGAAGGCAAGGTCAGCAGCACCCTGTCCGGCTTGGAAGGCGAGCTTAAGGGCAAGTTCTACCCCCTGACTGGCATGGAGAAGGCCGTCCAGCAGCAGCTGATCGACGACCACTTCCTGTTCAAGGAGGGTGACCGTTTCCTGCAGGCCGCCAACGCTTGCCGTTTCTGGCCCAGCGGTCGTGGTATCTACCACAACGATGCCAAGACCTTCCTGGTCTGGTGCAACGAGGAGGATCATCTCCGCATCATCTCCATGCAGCAGGGTGGTGATCTGGGCCAGATCTACAAGCGTCTGGTGACCGCCGTCAACGAGATCGAGAAGCGTGTGCCCTTCAGCCACGACGACCGTCTCGGCTTCCTGACCTTCTGCCCCACCAACTTGGGAACCACCATCCGTGCCTCCGTGCACATCAAGGTGCCCAAGCTGGCCTCCAACAAGGCCAAGCTGGAGGAGGTTGCTGCCAAGTACAACCTGCAGGTGCGCGGTACCCGCGGTGAGCACACCGAGGCTGAGGGCGGTGTCTACGATATCTCCAACAAGCGTCGCATGGGTCTGACCGAATTCGAGGCCGTTAAGGAGATGTACGATGGCATCACCGAGCTGATCAAGCTCGAGAAGAGCCTGTAAATTGCCCGCTAACCGCCGAGCATCGTCCCCCCGTCTGGATGGGCATCCTTCGGAGTTAACATCCATCCAAGGAAGCCACTAGTTCGGGGCACACGCAACAATCAACAACAAGAACAACAGTTAGAAATCTTCGGCTCGTCCGCCTTGTCGCTTTTGGGCGGTTCGGGCTGCAAAAATGTCTAGTTTGTAGCGATGGTGTGGAGCTGCTGTCCTGTTACAGCCCGGCGACCTTCGGCATTTTCGTATACTTTGAGGGTTGCGGGCGCAGGCAGCGATCCCATCTGGCAACACCAACACCACCCACAGCAGCAGCAACAACAACAACAACAATGGATAACTATTTGACAAAAAACATTTGCTTAATTACAACCAAACAATGTAAAACATTTTGACATCTGTGTCGAGCAAAAACAAAAAAAGAAACTTTAAATACTTTTATTTTAAGTCTTAAGTTTATAAAAGAATTAAAATTATTAAAAAATAATAAAAAAAAAATAAAAAACCCAATGATTATAACGTCGTGATTTGATTAAGATTATATATTTGGTCACATGTATTTAATCGGTTCACTTTTAGAGGTAGATATAGTTGCCAGTTTTGCCTTCAAATCTAGTCGACATTTTAGTTAAAATAAACGTTGTTAACTAGGAGGATTTGGCTTGACACTCGGCTGCTATGAGTCCCTTAATTCCATCGTGCATTTCCTTGATAATCTCGTATTCCGTGAGTCCCATTCTGCGCTGGTTGGAGATGTCATGTACCCCGCCCTTGGCTTCCGAGTGCTCCCCTGATGTGCCTCTAATTTGCAGGCGGTATTTCTGGGCCAGCTCTTCCATGTGGTCCGGCTGGCACATAAGGTTGGGCAGCTTTATGTGCACCGAGGCGCGAATGGAGGTGCCAAGATTGGTGGGACAGAAGGTTTGGAAGCCAAGGCGTTCATCCCTGTTGAACTTGAGTTTCTTGCCGAGTGCCTCTACTCCGCCAACCATGCGGTCGTAGACCTTGCCTAGATCACCACCCTTCTCCATGGATATGATGCGAATGTGGTCCTCCTCGTTGCACCACACCAAGAAGTTTTTGGCGTCGTTCAGGAAGATGCCACGCCCGGTGGGCCAAAAACGAGAGGCTCCAGCGGCTGCCAAGAAACGATCACCCTCTTTGAACAGATAGTGATCCTCAATAAGCTTGTCCTGGACGACTTTGTCCATTCCAGTCAATGGCATATAACTACCCTTGTACTCCCCGGTGAGAGACATTGTAGCCGCGCAGATTTGATTCTCCAGGTCCTTATAATCCTTCTCCATTAGACAGGGATTGAAAGGATAGCCCACTATGGCTCTTCCGCAGCGCACTCTCGTGGAAACAATGAAGTTGCAATCGGGATCCAGGTTTTCGAAGTCCTTACCCTTACCGAAAGATGTTGCCGGCTGCTTGTCCGTCTTCCTGAAGCACTTGTGGTAATCCTCAATGACGGGATCAAAGAGGTCAGCAAATACCTTATACGCCTCTGGATCTGGGGCGTAGAGACCTACGCCGGAATCATGGTTGCACAATCCAGAGCTGATGCAATGCAGTAGCGTAGAGTTAAACGATGGCGTCGTCTTCGTCTTTAACTTATCAAAGATCTCTTTGGTGAGATGCCTCTTCAGCAGCGATTTGGACTTGGACTCGGATAGATTTTTAAAGTCATCCTCCATTTGTTGGAGCACTTCATTGCTGACCTTGTCGCCAGATTTGCTAGCATAGCGATGGGTTGCTAGGTGTGTACAGAGACCTATTAATCGCAGTTCAAGCCGGGGTTTTGAATTTAACAGCATTTTTGAATTGCTTAAATTCGAAATGTATTAGCCAGGGTGACCGTATTTTATAAACTGACATTAGTCCCAAAAGCCTGTACTAAAGAAAACCTTAAAAATATTTTAGGTATAGACTAAAAGAAACAAAAGGTAGAAAACTCCACTTTCAGTGGTTTCAAAAGATCAACATATGGTTAGCAAGGACACTTTCCGGGGTATATAACCTTACATATGCCTTAGCGTAGATTTGATTAGGTTTTAAACCATAACGTGGATTTATTTGTAAATTAAATTAGGAAGTTGCAAATTAAGTAGATTAATATTTAGTGTACCTTCATATGAAAACAATGTGAAATATGGTTGCTTAGAGTATAAGTGTCTAGCGGAGTTTCAATCCATTGTAGAATAAATACATAACCTGTGTTGAAGTCATGAGTAAAATGTAGCTAGTTGCAGAGGAGATGCGACTTCTAAAGTAAATAATTACCAAAATGTAAGCAATAATTTATAACTTCATTTAAAAAACGATTCGTTTAATTACACGCAAGCAGAATATGACATAATTCTCTACGAATGTGTAATAGTTTTTTATTAAGTTTACTTCCGTAATAATACTAAAAACCCTATTATTATAAAAATATTATAAAAAAAGGTGTGTTAAATATGATAACTTCTTACTAACCATCGCGACCTGTCCGCGCTCGCACAATTTAATTAAATGTTTGCAAGCTGTTGGCTCGTAAAACAGAGAACGCGAACATTTTTATAGCTTAAAGCTTAAATACCAAATCAAATATATTATAATTAGCAATAAAGAACAACAAAAGCAGCAGCAACGGCAACAACAACACGCCAGCCAACATGTGGCGCAAATAAAATTCAGATCCGAACGGCAACACCTTCTCAATAAAGCATCGTTATCCTCATTATCATTATCAACAGCTTTGACCGCAAACCGGATTCGGATTTGGGTATATAAGAGTATGGACCAACCTACACATAAAAATTCATTAACTATATTAAAACAAGCGCAAATTAGAAATGCAATATGTGAGCGAGTCTGATTTACATTTTTATCTCATAATCTACGAATTTTGACGCTTTTTGCCACTGTTTTTATTCGAAAAGTAGCCAGCAAAAAAAAAAAAACCTAAACCTAGCATTTAAAAAACACTTCTGAAGCACAGACGCCGACAAAATGTTGTAGAGATTTTATTTTGTTTTGGCCCCTTTTGTTTTTGGTGAAAACTTGCAAATCTCATAATTTAATTGTTTCAGCATTTGTGATGCAAATTTATGCGCCAACAAATCCAATCGAAGACGAGGAGAAACACAAAGCGCTAATACAAAAACTAAGCCCAAATTAGTCAAAGCAACTTGAAACGGCGCGGTTTCGTGTGGCGCGGCGGGTGAATTATTTCGCGCTGCCTCAGATTACATTATGCATAATCTATGCAAAGGTTTCTATGAATGGAAGCCAAACCATTCGATAGGCCTTTGAACTATCCGCTTTCGTGGAGAGTGGGTCGCCGTCGTCTGGCTAGATCTTCTCTATGTGGTTCCATCTTCTTCTGGGTGCACTTAAAAACTTAATTAAAAATATTAAACACGAAATGTTTGGCGCCACCGTTTAGGAAACGCTCAAAAGTGGACCGCACACATCCATGGACCGCTGCGAGTTATCAGCTCAATTATGCAAGCTGAAAGGCAGCCGCCCGGCCCACAGACAGATTTGTCGCATTTGACACGATAATGCACACAAGGACCGACCACACCAGAGTCACTCCATCCGACTCGGAATCGGTTTCTTGGCCAGCTCCCACTTCGTTTTGGCCTGGCCAATGGCCATAAAAGGTGCGATAAAACGAAAATTTCACAAGACGGCAGTAGCAGCATATGCACTGAAAGAAAAGTGTTTCTGGAGACACAAAATGAATTTTAGTTTCTGGATTCTGCTAAACGTATTTTAAAGTAACCAACATAGAACATAGAACGTAACCTTATAGAATCGATGGTGGGAAACTAAGCTAACCTACGAACTAAAACATTTTCGTTCTCTGTGTAGCCACCTCTGCGTCATCTCCTCGCTTGAAGAATCGGGATGGAATCGCAGGGGAGTTGGGTCGGCAAAGACCAAACAGCCTGAAAGCCGTCAAATCGCTGCTCATAATGGACGCCTTATCTTTCGAGAATTGCTTTAACTACTACCGGAGTTGGATGTGTTTCAGATACGTGTGGCTCGAGAATCGACTGGTCACCATAATGGAGAGCATTAATTTGTCTTAGGCCCGCCAAAGCGGTCGCAAAACAACTTTTGGCCCAGGCAATACGATATTTAGCTAAAAACCTGTAAAAACGGAAACGCTGAAGGTTGCCCGCCGAATCCCCCACAAATAGTTTTGCATTTTCTTTCGAATTCGATGTATAATTTGTTTATTTTGACCAAAGAAACTTAAAACGAATTAACAAATTGTATGATTGCAGCTTGGTTCTTAAACGATCTATTAGTTAGTATACAGTATTATCTTACAAAGTATATGCACACGTTTCTCACTAATCACAACAGAAGATGACTTCGACTTAAGTAGGTTCTCTTTAGTAGGCTTAGTAGGCCAAAATGGCTGAAATGCTGAAGCTATTTCTTTTGGTCGAAGTTGAAGGCCGTGGTGAGGTAGTGGGTGTGCTGGAGCTAACTGGCTGTGAGGCCACAGGACTAACAGGAGCAGAAGTTGGCACATAAGTAGTTGGTGGCATTGGTAGAACTTGAGGAGGAACTCCACCGAAATAGGCAGCTGCAAAGTTGGGTGGCAGGCCTGGAGCTCCATTGGGTCCATAACTCAAGGGATGGCGGAGATATGGCGACATGGAACTGGCAGCTGGATGAGCGCTATAGTAAGCAGGTGAAACGCTGCCCGTTGAGTCCTGCTCAAAGTCCTGGCGTTGGCGCTTGGCCTGTGGAGAGTCACAGCTGCTCACACTGGAGCCATCGTCCTCCGACTCCAAGCTGGAGTTTCCACTGCTGTTCAGCTTCCTTTTGCAGCGGGACTGGCCAGACTCACGGAAACCCTTGGCGAAGGGATTGTTGTCGATCTTCAGTTTGGTGATGCGATCGTTCTGCAAGAATAAGAGAAAATTTACAAATTAATATAATTGTAAGATAATGGAACATGATCTCTAATTTCTTTGTCTGACAGAAACCCGATCTTTGAGGCGTCAGTAAGTAGCCGTCGGCTAGGAAGCACTTGAAAAGTTCCACTGCGATCCTAGTTAGGATCATTCTCAAGTGGCTGGCAGGCGACAAATTTTGAAATGCTTCAATTAGCAGACGACCCCCGCCGAGTCTTTGTCTTGTCAGAAAAGATCCTCAATGGAGGAAGAGAAGGATGTTGGATGTTTAACCCACCTGATAGGCCGTGACAGCTACGAATTCCGTCTCCGGGAAAACGAACGCCTGCTGAGGAGCCCAGGGAAGTTGGGTGAGCTCGCTGCTGCGGATGATGTGCAGGCGTGGCTGGTATTTATGCATGCTGGCCAAGACGATCTAAGGGAAGTAAAGAAGATGATTAGTAACCCATTTAGAGGATTCTGAAGAGATTTCCAAACTTACATGTCCGCTGCTATCCAGGGTATTGTTGGTCAGCTTAACCTTGTTGAAGAGCAAGGCCTGAGACTGCCAATGGGCACCGGTGGCAGGACTATCCGGATGCAGATACATTCGCTGGGGGCTCTGGGGCTCAGCTCCACCGGCCGGAACCCACTGGGAACCAGAGAACTTGTAGCGGCAATCTCCGATGGGCACCATCTCGAGGAGCACACAATAGCTGGCCTCCTCCTCCAATCCGCTGAGAGAAACGCGCATCGAGGGGAACATGCGTCTGCAAGGAAGAAGGAAAGAATAGGACTTGATTAAGTGGCCTGCCACGAACTGCATATAAATCAGAGAGGTAGAATCATCGCAAAAGGAGGCGTCGCCCGGGCATCTATTCTATTTTACTTTATTTCGCCTTTTGATTTGTGGCCCCGGCTAACAAGTGTGTAATTATGGACCAAAAGGCGGGCAGCGGGGAGTCTGCCCAAGAGCAGCATAGCGTAACGTAGCGCATCGCATCGATTTAAAACGTAACGCAAACAGATCTCTCGCCAGCCCAAAACAATATGCCACCGGCACATGATTAATTGTGCGGCAAATCGGTGGATCGTTGGTGTATGGATTGGCCAGAGGGGCTGGGTAGCGGTTGGGGGGAAAACTGGCGCCAAACAATTAGACAAAATCTGGGAGTCGCCCTAACGGCTTCCAAGCGTCGAATGCATGTCTAATGAGCCGAGAAAGTGACTGCCTTAGCGGATTAAACCACACGGAAAACAATGGTTTTCTCAAAAGATTTATCAAAGAGATAGTTAGCTTTTGGTTAAGTTAAAGTTTTAATATTAAAATCTTATAAAACTTGAATCAATTTAAAAATCTTTAACAATGTAATTTCTTCAACTTAATCCCACAACTTGACTTGAAAGTCTAACGATTTCTTGCCGTGTACTTTTGCAACTTAAACTTCGAGTTCAGCTCATAATTATGTAAATTTGTCTCGGCTCCCGCTCGGTAGTCGCTGTTCGATAGTTTCCCTATCTCAGATATGGTTAGGGTCTTTTCGCTCCAGAGAGAAGGGTCAGGCAGGGCAGAGCAGGGCATTGTGGGCAAAGTGTGAAAAGCGCAGGTAGATCGAACAAACTCGATTGTCAACGCCGAAACCGAAAGAAGAAAGATTTTTATGATCGGACCGGCGCCAGGGCGGCGTCTTCCTCTTGTCTTCTCCTCCGCCGGCTATACACTGCACTTGTTGTCACTCCGAGAGCGAGAGCTCCTGCTGCGTTTTGAATTATGGCCAGGCGCCACATTAGGCCCGGGAAATCGAAAAAAGGTTCAGGGAATCGCATAGGGTATAGCAATACGAATATGAATAGAGAAAAAATGAACCTGGGACAGGAGCAAATATTTACATAGGCCGTGCGACGCACTTGACTTTTGGAAAAACTCGGGCTATTTGCATAGGATAAT